AGACAAGGATGAAGAAAGGAGTGGAACCAGCCCGAACAAACAGCGACGGGTCGGCGGACAACGGACTAACCACAAGGTCACAAAGCGTGGAGCAAAGAGTGCCGTGCCACTCACGGGGCGACTGGCGGAGACCGTAGACTGGCCGCCTCAGGCTCCACTGGGTCCCAGGTGGGAAGGTATCAGTGAAGCCAGGAGGGCGGCGCAGCCAGTTCTCCTCGTGTAGTCGGCCCTGGAGAAACGCTGTGGAGAAGTCGAGGGAGTGCAGCTCGTAGTCTCGCTGCGCTGCTATGTGGAGTAACACCCGAAGAGTAGTCATCTTCGAGGTTGGGGCGAAGGTGTGGAAAAAGTTAACTCCCTCACGCTGACTGAAACCCCTAGCCACGTAGCGCGCCTTGAACACAGGCGGTGAACTAGGCGGTCGCTTCACCTCGAAGAGCCACATGCCATCGACACCGTTCGCCCTTGGAGGGGGAACTGCGTCGACGTAGGTGCCTGTAGATCTCCAAGACGCTAACTCCGAGGCCATAGCCGCTTTCCACTAAGAGGCCCACGCCCCTGACACTGCCTCGCGGTAAGTACGAGGAGTCGGTATGTCAAGGGCGTCGGGGTCTCCCTCAGGGGATAGCAACATCGCATAGACAGAGGGAGAAGCGGCTGTCCAGTACTCCAGCTCAGACTCTCTGTCCTCTAGGACTTCACAGCCAAGGGCAAACTCACCCCCGATGGACAGAGGACAGGAGGGAGGAGCTGGCACCACACGAGTGGCATAGTCAAGGCGACTGACGGCAGCAAACTCAGCGACAGCGGCAAGGAGAGCCGAGACAGACGACGGAGGGAAATGAGAGGCGGTGACAAGAGTGGCGAGGACACGTGATACAACAGGACAAATAGCATGGTAGTAGTCAGTGATAGGAGTAGGGGGGACAGGGAGAGAGGACGGAGGAGGAGACGGGAGAACGGACTCAGGAGGAGGACGACGAAGAGATGAACAAAGGAGGGCAGTGCGGAGGCCGGTAACGGGAGACGAGGGACGACCACGCGGAGGACAGGGACGGACACGAGAGTGTAAGACAACTGGTGGAGGAGACTGCGGTGGAGGAGAAGACCAGACCGCCGGACCGTCGTCAGGAGGAGGAAACGTGGGACCAAACGCCGGAGAGGACGGAGTGTGAAGAGGAGGAGAGGAGGGAAGACCAAAAACCCGAAGGCCACTCACGGGTTGGAACAACTGCCGCTCTAGAGGGAGCTGCGGTGGTCTGAGCTGCGGCTGCTGCTGCTGCTCCAGCAGGTCCAACTGCCGCAACTCCTGCTGCTCCCTCTCCAACAGCACCTGCTCCTCATGCTCACGCCGACGGGCCGCCTAGAGACGCATGTCGTGGCGGTGGGGAGGCGGAGTGGACTCCGCAGAACCAGTGTCTCCAGCTCCAGTCTCCTCGGAACCAGCACCTCTAGTGCCAGCGCCTCCAGCACCAGCACCCCCAGAACCAGCACCTCCTGTGCCAGCACCTCCAGCTCCAGCACCCCCAGACTAGCACCTCCAGTGCCAAGACCTCCAACTCCAGCACCCCCAGAACTAGCACCTCCAGTGCCAGCACCTCCAGCTCCAGCACCCCCAGCTCCAGCACCCCCAAAGCTAGCGCCACCTACGCTGGGACCTCCAGCTCCAGCACCTCTCGAATGAGCACCCCCAGACTGAGTACCACCAGCAGCCGCACCTCCAGCTCCAACACCAACCGAGGCCACAGTAACCTGTCGCGGAAATGCCGAAGGCTACTGAGGGGGCTGTGAGGAGGACTACGGGGAGGGAGACGCTACCTGACGAGCGACCGAGGGTAGAGGGGTAGCGTGGGACACACCAGACGGGGCAGGACCAGGGGGGGGCCGAGTACCGGAGGAGTGGGAGCAGGAGGAGGAGAGGGTGCGAGGAAAAGAGGGGGAGGGGGTACCGGGAGACCTCGACAGGGGTACCGGGTGTAGTAGGACACGGACTCGTCAAACCGGATGTCACGGGAGTCTAGAAACTGGTGGAGGGGCGGGTGGTAAAAAGACAAGTCTGTAAAGTCCACTGAGAAACCAAGGAAGACACAGGGGACGGCGCGCACCGAGAGCTTGTCCGCGGAGGTGTCGCGAACAAGTGCAAGGCAGCCCCAGACACGAAAAGCCGACCCAACACCAGGGGAACGGGTCCAAAGACTGGTCGGTGAAGCCTCTGGCCGCGAGACATGTGACTGGAGGTTCAATTCAGCTGGTGTGCGGCGTAGCGATCCGCATAGGGCCATAGAAAATTGGGCGCACGGGCATGGATCATGGACGTGCGAGCAATGTCCATGACCAAGCCAATGCGGCGCTAAGCAACCCCATTCTGCTGTGGGGACTTCGAAATCGTCCAGGACTGTGTGATGCCCTATTCGCCGCAGAATCTGCCAAGAATGCCGAAGCGAAATTCGCCCCCACGGTCGGAGTGTAGACAACTGACACGACGACCACGAGTGCCCTCAGTAGCCAGAAGCCAACAGATCAGCGTAGAAGTCACCTCGGACTTCTTCGCGAGAGGGAACACTGTGGTGTACTTGGAGTAGGCGTCGACGACCACCAGAAAGTAACGCTCCCTCCCAGATCCCCGTGTTGGGGCAGGGCCCTAGACGTCCAAGTGAAGAGTCTCGAAGGGAGCAGTGGCTGGACGAAGGGAGGAGTGGGGAGTGGCGCATAAGCGATTGGCGACGCAAGGAGTGCAAGGGGGAGCAGGGGAGGTAGGGAGCGACGGAAAGGTGCGCGGGAGACCGGTGACAAGCCCGTGCGTGGTCATGCCGCGGAGGCGGGGGATCGACGGGTGGCCAAGGCGGTGGTGCCACAAGACGGTCCGGTGGGTGAAGGACTGACACGAGCAGGACGCAGCAACCGGAGTGGACAACGTGACCTGACGAGTCACTGCAACCGGACCAGACACGACCACCTGGCTAAACACAGTAACCGGACTGGACACCTGGACTGGAGGGGACGCAACGACCTGAGCGGAGGATGAAACTGGGGAGCGCTCGGTGTGGAGAACGTAGAGACCGGAGCGGGGCTCCCTAGTGAACGTGGCCAGAACAGCACCTGTGGCAGCGTCTAAACAGACCGCAGTCCTCCCACCTCCCACAAAGGTGACCATGATCCCCCTGTCCTGGAGGTATCCAACACCCACCAAGTTCCGAGTGAACGAGGGGATGTGGAGGCCGCGCAGGACACCAGAGGGGACCACAGGACACGGGAGGGTAGTAGAGCTACGCGCAACGGCTGGTCCTAAGGTAGGATCAGCCAGAGCTACCGAAACAGGAGTGAGGAGTGGCGTAAGGGTCGTGTGGTCGCGGAAGAAGCACTGAGTCGCGCCAGAGTCCAGTGTGAAGGACAGGGACGCCTCAGCCGGAGGGTCACCTGTCCTAGTAGCTACACAAGCACCTAGAGCAGCAACACAAGCCCCTAGACTAGAAAGGCACAAGTCTACACTAGCAGGAGGCAAGCAAGCTAATCTACGAACACGCGAGCACACAGGTTCATCAGCACTATAGTCAACATCAGCATACAAAGCATGCTGACGAGCATCATCCATAGACAGATCAAGCACATCAATCTTACAAGCTAACAGGCGGGCCCAACGAGGAGTGGTCGCCGCAGGGCCCCAACGAGCACGGTAGAGGTCGTCGAGGCGGCGGGAAGCACCGCGCGGCAGAGTCGTCGTCGTGACCGCAGAGGCAGGGGCTGCCCGGTCCGGTGAGGCACCAGTGGGTGCAGGGGCCAGTGTCACGGCGAGAAGGGCGAGGGGCCCAGCTGAAAGTGCTGCTGCTGCAGCCGGTTCTCCCTGGTCCTCCCAGACCCCACTGCGGCGGGAGACCCCAGTGCTGCTGCGGACCCCACTGCAGCGGGGGCCCCCACTGCTGGATCTGCTGCAGTGCCTGCTCCTGCTGCGGTCCCTGCTGCTGCTGCGGCTGCTGTCCCTGCTGTGGCTGGTGCTGCTGTCCCTGCTGTGGCTGGACAAGGTGGGCGGCAGAACAAGGTGGGCGGCAGGACAAGGTGAGCGGCAGGACAAGGTGGGCGGCAGGACAAGGTGGGCGGCAGGACAAGGTGGGCGGCAGGCCTAGGCGGGAGGCAGGCCAAGGTGGGCGACAGGCCAAGGTGGGCGGCAGGCCAAGGTGGGCGGCAGGCCAAGGTGGGCGGCAGGCCAAGGTGGGGCTGCTTGCCTCATGAGCAGCGCCTGTGAGACTGGCTCCGTCATTGTGCTTTCCATGTTTTCCCCTCTCTCTCTCCCCTCTTCCCTCTGGCCTATACCCTCTCTAGTGAAGAGGAAAAGCTTTGTTTCTGATACACATGTGCCTCATCTCTCCTGTCCTCCCATCCCACCACCTTTGCTCCCCCCCGGCACCCCAACAGCACGTGCAAGGTGCTAACACATCCATAGGCATTGACGGCGACACGGGTGCCCTCACACGCACGCATTCACAGGTACACACGTGCATCATGTCTCCTTTCCTCCCGTCCGGGCCTCATCCCTCCCCCCCCCCACACCCCAACAGCACGCGCAAGGCACCAACACGTCCATAGGCATTGATGGTGACATGGGTGCCCTCACAGACACAAAGGAGCTGGGGGTGAGTGGTGGGGAGTGGTGAGGGAGATTGTTGGGGAAGTCTGTTGGGGGGGGGACAGTGCTGTGGGGAGGGCTGAGAGAGGGCATTGGCGGCGACACGGGTGCCCTCACAGACATGAAGGAGCTGGGGGTGGGTGGTGGTGAGTGGTGGGGAGTGGTGAGGAAAGTGCTGGGGGTGTGGTTTAATGGTGTAGTGATGGTGGAGTGAGGGAGGCGCAACTGGAGGTGATGTGGCATGCGGCAATCCTCTGCATTTTTCCATGCGAAAAAAAACCTTCTCTGCGTTATTCCACGCGCAGCTTCTTTGTCTTTACTCGCCCGTCCCTTGTTTCCTCATGCTCCTTCCCGCTCTTGTAGCAGGTGTCCACACTCCATTATGTCTTCTTATTGCCTCACTGCCTCCTTCCCTTCGTGCCTCCCTGCCTCACGCCTCTCCCTGTGTCCGCTGCCGATTGTGACAGCCATAGGCCATGCAGGAACAGACAGGGAAAGCACTGAGGCTGTGTGTGTACTATTTTGCCTTTCACAGCCTCCATTCATCCGCCTCCCTACCTCCCTGTCACCCTACATCCCCGCCTCCCTGTCCCCCTGCCCCACTCCCTGCCAGGTGTGGAGCCGTATGCAGTGAAGGTGCAGACAGTGAAAACAGCCATCGAGGCGGCGTGCATGCTGCTGGGAATCGATGACATTGTCAGCGGGCTCAAGAAGAAGCATGCGGGCGGCATGTGTGTGGTTTAGCCTTTTACACCCGCCACTCATCCCCGTGTCTCCCTTCCTCCCTGCCTCGCGGCCTCCTGGCCTCCCCACCTCCCTGCCCCCCTGCCTGCCTATCTCTGTGCCTGTGTACCAGGTGTGGGAGCCGTATGCGGTGAAGGTGCGGACGGTAAAGACGGCCATCGAGGCGGCGTGCATGCTGCTGCGCATCGACGACGTCGTCAGCGGGCTCAAGAAGAAGCAGGCGGGCGGCGCACCAGGAGGGGGCAAGCCGCAGCTGGACACGGGGGATGACGTTGACTCGGAGCAGATGCTGGCCGAGTGAGGGGAGTGTGTTGCGGTGGTGTGCGGTGGAAGCCGGGAGGAGGCAAGCCGCAGATGGACACGGGGGAAGACGTTGACTCGGAGCAGATGCTGGCTGAGTGAGGGGAGGGGAGGGTGATGCGGTGTGTTGCGGTGCTTTGTGGCGGTGGTGGAGGTGGTTCTTCTTGTCATGAGATTGCATGGGTCCGGTGGCAAGCCAGGAGGGGGCAAGCCACGGCTGGGCACCGGCGATGACGTTGACTCGGAGCAGATGCTCGCCGAGTGAGGGGCGGGGAGGGAGATGCAGATGCGGTATGTTGCGGTGCTGTGCGGTAGTGATCTGTAGAGAGTGTTGTCCGGCATGTACTGTACCATATTTTCGAGTGCATGGCATGACATGACATGACACCCCCCCAAATTGAACACTTCTTTTGAACGACACATGCGGATCTGGGTGTTCAATTCTGGTTTCTAGGGGTAGGGGTGGCTGAGAGGCTGAGAGGCTAAGGGACTAAGGGACTATGCCTCTCTCTCTCTCTCTCTCGCTCTATCTCCGCTGGGTTAGAAGAAATGAACCCCCAGCTGAATAATGAGCCACCAGACCAGGCCCAAGGCCTTATATACTAGGGGTAGGGGTGGCTGAGAGGCTGAGAGGCTAAGGGACTAAGGGACTATGCCTCTCTCTCTCTCTCTCTCTCTCTCTCTCTCTCTCTCTCTCTCTCTCTCTAATGGTCCGTATATTGATAGGTCAAAAAGGTACACACATGCCAGATTGCACAAACCAAATTTAGATGGGTCCAAAAACCACTACACCCTCTATAGCTCAAGGGGTCCAAGAGGGTCTTCTCTCTCTCTCTCTCTCTCTCTCTCTCTCTCTCTCTCTCTCTCTCTCTCTCTCTCTCTCTCTCTCTCTCTCTAATGGTCCGTGTATTGATAGGGTTTGAAAGTACAAACATGCAAGGTATATAGTGCAAGGTCTAGCTAACCAAATTGACAACCAAACAAACAAGGCATACTACTCACTCAACTACCACAACACCACCCACTCTAGAGCTCCAAAAGAGGCTCAACCACCACGAAGCAGTCCCCAAGGTACATCTCCTGCCCTATGCCTCCTACAGGAGGGTTTTTTGCCACCGCTGCCTCTCCCAGCTTAAGGAGGAGCCCCACGGATTGGGCCCTCTGAAGAGCTACCGACCATCGCTGACGGAACTGGTGCAGGAACTTTGCGGCATAAAATGATTTTGAATCGGCATTGAAGTGTCGCCGAGCCGCCGTGCCCGCTAAGAGTTTGAGGAAGGTGGGTACCTCCGCGCATGGGCAACCGTAGGTGTCTACGGCTAGCGGGAAAAAGCCAACCGTCTCTGGTCGGTTGGCGTAGTGCTTAATCTTTTTGTCGGCTTGCTCCCTGGCCGCCCACCCTCTGCCTTTCTATGCCTCTGGGTCCCTGGTGCTGATGGGATCCGTGATGGTGACGTCACAGACATAAACCGCCCCACTGCTCCTATCTGTCATGGTGAAGTCGGCGGTTTGTTCCTCAATGGGACAGTGAGCGGCAGATTCGCTGTGAACTATGAAGCCCGCGTGTTGCGCCATGCTAATGCATGCATCCCGCAGCTCATTGTGAGTGTTAATGCGGTGCTTGCCTGTGCCGCAGCGGAGGAGGTGGTTAGGGAGGCGGGGATCCGTGATAGCTGTCTGATCCGCGCAGTCGCAGTTCTTAGGAGTTGAGAAGGGGAGCCCTAGACGGAAGCGCACGGCGTTGGCGAAGTGTACGGGGCCTATCTGTCGCGTGGCTTCGATCGGGATCGCGGTTAGCCAATCACCAGTGCCGTACCCAGTCAGTGAGAACATACGTTGCGTGTGGCCTGATAGCGGATTCAGCCGCATGCGCCTTGTTGCCTGGACCTGCGCGGCGTATCTACTCCCGTGCACCTTCAGGCCGAGCACATGCTGGAGCCGAATATCCGATCGTTCCCGCCTCTCCTTCTCCAGGATCTCACGTGCATCTAACGGTAGCGCCACTTCGCACTCCGAGAGCCAGGAATGCAGAGGTGTGCCGTCGTCCCGCGGCAGGAGCATGTGGTTCTGGGCTACCGTTAAAGCACTCGCCGGCAGGAAGAGCGCCGCTTGGGTGAAACTTGCGGTGAACCCATAAACTCCTTCTACAAGCGGGTCCGTAATGCCGATGCCGCCTAACGATGTGGGAAGTGACGCCTGTTCCCAGACGCGAGCTTGCTCAGTCCGGCAGGTTGGTGTGCGGATGTCGCAAGAGGTGAGTAGGGTGGTAAGTAGGTCCCGACCCCACTGGCTCCAGGTGTCGCGAGGTAGGAGGTGGAGAGGAGTCGTTCTTATGAGATAGGCTACCCGTCTGGAGATGCATCGCGTGAGTAGGAGTGCGGCCACCTGGGGGTCGGCACGTTCAATGAGTGGTAGAGGTTTCGTCATCTCGTCGAGCTGTTCCGTCAGAAACGAGGCTGCTCCGGTGTGAGTCCCCAGGTAACTACCTAGAAGTCTCACTCCATCCTTGGAGTATGGCACGCCGGGCGGGAGTTGTGGCTGTGTGCCCGTGGTGGAACTCCAGGCCGAACATTTCTAGGGATTATGTGCCAGGCCCAGCTGTGCAAGTTCGGCTGTGAAATGCGTGAATGCAGCTACAGTGCGAGACGAGTCACCCAAGAATGTGACGTCATCCGCATACGCCAAACACAGCACGCCGGGGTGTGTCTCAGCTGTCTCACGAAGCACAGGGTGTATTCCTGCTGCGAATAGTAGCGGGCCGAGTGGGTCCCCCTGCCGGACACCCCGTTCACTTTGCAGTGGGTCGCAGTTGAAGTTTGCGTCTAGGAGCAGTTGCGACGGGTTACCGTAGGTCAGTTTAACAAACGGCAGCAGTGGCGAGAGTGTGGGTTCCTGTAACGCTGTAGCAATTGCCTGTCGCGAGATACTGTTGAAAGCGTTTGAGATATCTGCTTGCAGAACCAGGCTGTTGGGACGGGCATCCAAAAATGCCCTGGCTGCATGGATTACTGCCTCCGCTCCCCCGGGCACTGCTACACCGTACTGGAGTGGCAGGAAGTATTCGCGGGCAGCCTCTCCCATGGCTGTCAGGGCTGCCTTGGCTGCCAGTCTCGTCAAACATTCGCCTACCGCGATTGGCCGGGCGCCTCCACCAGGTTTGGCCAAGGCTATTAGTCGCGAAGCTGTCACGAGTTTTGCAACCGGACCTGGCAATTTGCCTCCAAGCATGGTATTGACCAAGGCGTGCAGATGGGTGCTGACCATCGCGTTGGTGATCGCCGAGTCGCGCATGTGCTCAAATGTCGTCCCAGACGGTCCGGCTCCAACTCCGTTCTCGCATCTCCCCAGGAGCTGGCGAACTCTGCGTGGGTTATGGACAGCGTTGACTCGGGTGGCGCGGGCCAGGACACCGCGTCGTGTTCTGCGGGCGGGTGTTTCTGGCGGAGCTCCTCCAAGATTTCCAGACTGGGGGTGCAGACTGGTGTTGACTCCAGAGCCAGCACGGCTCGGCGTAGGCTGCCACGTTTCGCCAGTCCTTCGGCTCGGCTGATGACCCCTGTCACGTCTGGCTGGTGTCGTGGCGGTGGGGGTGTGTTGACCGAGTCCACCGCGTCCTGGTACAGCTGCTCCCATTCGCCTCGCTGGAAGGCTCGGGGCCGGGCCTTGATCCCTGGCCAATTCGGTCGCTGTGGCGAGGCTTGGCGAAGTGTCAGGCGCAGGAGAAAAAACAGCAGGCGCCATCCTGTTTCGGATTCAGGGTTTCGCGAAAGGTGGAGTAACGGCGTCAGAAGCACCAGCGAGAACAGTTGGCAAAGGTTTGGCGGTAAACGTCGGGACAGCGAAGGCTGACGACTGTCGTTGAGTGCCGCAATGTCCCAGTTCACAATGGATGCGAACAGGTCTGCGCGCTTCGCTAACTCGTCAGGCGAAAAATAGCGGGGGGTCAGGGGGGATTGGCGCGTCGTGACATTGGTGGCGGTTCGATTTCGTTGAGCGCGGCTCGCCCTCGTGGTAGTAGTTGGCGTTGGGATATCACCCGTTCGATCGACATCCGACGGTCGATGGCTCGCCTGTGGCACTTGTACTGCCGAGTGTCCTGCATCGGCCGCTCCTCTCCCCAATGTCTCCCTTGCCCTACTTTCATCTTCTGGTCCGTCATCCTCACTGGAGGGGAGTGGTTCTTCCCTATAAGAAGGGTCTCTCAAATCCTCGTCTTCATTAGTTGTTTCTAGCTCGTTTAAAGCCAGACGTGCTGCTGCCATGACATGACACTCTCAAAGTTAGCGAACAACGGAATGCATGAACTAGCATAGTGCTGGATACAAATAGGAAACCGTAATATCTGTACCCTCGAGAATGCATCTCACTACAGCCTATAACTATTATATTTGACACACCCCCATAGGCTAAGTGAGGGGCATCAAAACAAGCAAGGCAGAGAAACGGTCACCACACAGTCGCCAAGAAACAAAGCAAGCTCAGGGTGGATCTCAAGGACACCACACAAATTCCGAGCTCAAGCATGCAGCCACAAGGCCAGTTCAAGAGTTCACTAGGATATATATAGGAAAGTACAACAAGCAAAGCAAGCAACAAGACTACAGCAACCGAGGGCCTACCTCAACAAGCCCCAACTGCACACAGAACTTGTGGTGGTCACCAAGCGCCAAGGCCTTGGTGAAGACGTCTGCAGTGTTGGCCTCTGAGGCCACAAAGTCCAGGCATGCCTGGCCGCGTCGCTGCAGCTCTCGCAGGAGGAAGTACCTTGCGTCAATATGCTTCTCTCTGCTCTCTCGTCGAGGTTCTCGACAGAGGAAGATCATGGCCTTGTTGTCAGCGTACAAGGTCGGTGCAGAGCAAGGCCGCTCACCAAGGTCGTCGAGCAAGAAGGTCAACCAGCGAAGCTCCTGTGCCGCCATGGCACCAGCGCAGATCTCTGCCTCTGCACTGGAAGTAGCCATAGACGACGACCGTGTAGACCTCCACGACACAGCACCAGCT